TGCCCACGTGTCTCTTCCTTTCTCTCAGACGGAAGGTCCATCCATCTGTCACTTGGGGATGGCACCCAAGCTCCCCTAATCCCACTCACAGTCCCCCAAGGCTGGCATCTTGCTTTGCGTTCAATTTCACCAGAAATATCCCAGTTGACGCGTTGCCCTGTGGGAAGCAGGGCGCTGCACGGAAGAATCTCAGGCCTTACTGAAGCGAAGTTGTGATAAACAACAGCCTCTGCTTTTTTTTTTTTTTAACTGTCTGCTTCCTTGCAATTTTGAGGAAGTGGGTGGCTTCAGCGTTGTGGCGTTATGAGCACACTTTCCTCAGAAGACATTTAGAAATTCTTGTAAAGCTAGAGCGTGTTTGTGACATAAGGCTGTGTGTGGTTTTAATTTAAAAAGAGAGAGACTCCCAGGGCTCTCGGCACGTGCCCCGACTCCTGTGCTCTTGCCTCAAACAATCAGCGCCTAAGAGTGCTCAGGCAGCCAGGCAGAAAGCTTTAAAATTCTTCAAAGTCTCTGCTGTGTGAGGACAACATAGCTCTCGCCTGCTTGGGATAAAGGTTCCTAGTGACCCCACCTGAAGCATGGAAGACTAGGACGCACTCCGCTGATAAAGTTGATTCCAGCTGGGCAGAGCCACGCAGAGGGCTAATGCTTTCAGCTTGTGTACATGGTGTGGTATTCACAACCAGAACAACTGTTAATGACCCAAGTTCCCTTCCCCTTTGGAAGAATCTTCCTGGGCCTTCATGTCTTCTTCAGAAAAACGGGCTCCTCAGCGACCGTGGGTGTACCGACTTATTACAGAGGCCCCTGCTATAGATTTTTAGCACATAGTAGTTACCCCATGATCACTAATTCAGCCTTCACTCTGCCTAGTTCAGCTTGAGGTAGGCTTTCACATCTTTAAGGGGGCCAGCTTGACCTAGCAGTTAAAGCTTCTAGAAACGGATTGCTGGTGTTCACATCCTGGCTTTACCATTTTCTTGCTCTTCATCTTTGGGTCTGTTCCTTGACTATTTCCTGTTTCAAGGCCCTCATCTGCAAATGTAACAATCAACAAAGGTTCTTCACAGACTTCAGTGAAGGTCTCTGCAGACCCCAGGCCTCTCTGCGTAATCACCGCATACAGGCCACACACCCAGGCCCACTTGCTCCGTTCCCTCTGTGTGGCTTTTTCTCCCCTCTCATGCTGTCTACTGATGACCCAGCTTCCTGCTCCCTGCTGCACGAGTCCCCTCCCAGCTCCCCCAGCTCAGCTACATCTCGTCTTTCTTCTTTCTCTTGGGTCTTTCCCATCAACATTAACGTTTCTCACATCTTCACAAAAAACTCTCTTGGTGCCACTTCCTCCTTCGGCTGTAGCCTGATTTTGAGAATTTTTTTATTTTAATAAGGACTGTTGAACTTCCTGTTATAGCCCTTCTTTTTCTTTCCTGGATTCCTCATTTGAAGCCCTTGTCCCCAGGACTACACAGAATGACTTCTCAAGAACACCAGTGGTTTTTCTGTCGCTAAGCCAGCAGGGCAGGTCTCCAGGCTCGCCTCACTGGCCTGCCAGTAGTGTCGGACGTAAGTGGGCACTGCCCCGTCACACACTCTGAACCTTCTATCTGTCCTTCAGGCTCCACAGTTGGCCTGGTTTTCCACCCCCTTTTTTTCTGCTCTCTTTCTGGTTCCTCTCTAATTCCTTCTCGTTTCTCCAACCTGTAAGCCATGATTCCACCAGGAGACTCTTTTTCAACCCTTATCACCTTGACAAGCTTGGCTGCCCTAGGACTTTAGTTACCCCACGTATATAACATCCCCTACGTGTGTTTCCAGAATCGACCACTTTTGAATTCCAAATTATGTACATATATGCTTAGATCTCCAACAGGGAGCCCAGACTAATCCAAAGTCAATATCCAAGGACCAAACCTGGTGACCCAGAGCATGTCCTTCTCACGGGGAACTAAGGGAGTATAAGAGCCAATGATGTATTTCAGGCCTCCGGGCTCATCTCGGCTGCTTACATTCCACTGGCCCACGTGGGTCACATGAACGAGCCCAGAGTCACTGAGACAGGAAGTGCGCATAGCCCTAAGAGAAGAGGAACTGCCCCACTTACCTGATTGCCACCCAGTACCACAGGAGTGCGGGGCTCCCTCACTTTGGCTCTGGCTCTTGAGGACTTTGGAGCCTCAGGTCTACACTACCTGCTGCCCGACCCAACACACTGTTGCTTATCCAGCCCCCCCGAGCACCGTTCAGGCAGCAGCTCCATAGGGAGCCTCACAGGCAAAGGTTCAGTCCTGGGACCTTTGACTTAGGAATTCTAAAGGAGGCATTTAGAGACACATGAGGAACTTCCTGGACCCTTTGCGGTGAGTTCCTGTAAGTCTTGGAAAAACATATGACCCATGGGGAAGTCGCTGTGCACACTCAGAAAGTCAATCAGCAAAAGCAGCCACCGTGGAAAAGCTGCTCCTGGCAGCCCTGAGGCCGACACTGGTGTGAGCCCCTGAGTGGGGGTAGAAACCTGGAGTTGCTTCGGCCGCACCTTCTCTGACCTTTAGAAGATGAAGAACCAGATGTCTCGGCAAAGTTTGAGTTAGCATCGGCAATAGTGAAAGCAAACAGCCATGTATTTGTTTATTAACCCTAAGGATTTACTGGGGACTTAGACTTTTTTGCTGGAGGAAAGTCCATGAGCAAGCAACTTGGTTTCTGTCTCTCTCCTTCATCTCTCTTCTGCCACCTCCCAGGCGCAACTAATGGGAAGGAGAAGGCCAATTAAGTGGACAGCTAAATATAGCGCGAGAAGGGATATGATGGGGAAGTACAGGGGGCTGTGAAAGTTCACATGGGAGGGGTATAAGTGGGACTTACAGAGAGGGGGAGGCTTCCTGGAGCAGCCTCTTCCACACCCTGACTTGACATAGGCCTCAGGGAGATGAGGAGGTTTTGAAAAGGACCAGCTGTGGTGTTTCAGCCTGTAATCTGAGCACTAGGCTGAGCTAGGCAGACTGCCCTGAGTTTAAGATCCCTTCACAAACAAAAAAAAAAAAAAAAAAAAAAAAAAGGAGAAGGAGAAGGAGAAGGAAGAGGGAGGGAGAGAACGGAGAGGGAGAGAGAAAGGAAATGAAGTGGGGGAAGAAAGGGATGGGGAGAGGGAAAATGAGGATTATAAAAAGCGCTCTAGAACAGCAAATACGATGTACAGAAAGAACCCCTCAGCTTGCTCTGGGAGTGCTGAGAAGTGGGAAAGAGGTGGGGCTACAATAAAGACAGGCCTGGCCTCTTAGAAGGCTTCGGTGACGTTTGTTATTTATATAGATATATATATGCTTTATAAATAATACCATTCAAAATTTCCACCTCCTCCCATTTCCCTCCCACTCACCCTCCCCCCACCCCCTCAAGTCCTAAGAGAGGGCAGGGTACCCTGCCCTGTGGGAAGTCCAAGGTCCTTCCTCCCCCCTCCATCCAGGCCTAGGAAGGTGTGCATCCAAACAGACTAGGTTCCCAAAAAGCCAGTACATGCAATATAATCAAATCCTAGTGCTATTATCATTGGCTTCTCAGTCATCCCCCATTGTTGGCCACATTCAGAGTGTCCGGTCTGATCACAGGCTCTTTCAGTTCCAGTCCAGCTGGATTTGGTGAGCTCCCCTTAGATCGGTCACACTGTCTCAGTGGGTGGACGAACCTCTCGTGGTCTTGACTTCCTTGATCATCTTCTCCTTGGACCTTGGGAGCTCAGTCCAATGCTCCAATATGGGTTTCTGTCTCTATCTCCATCCATCGCCGGACAAAGATTATGCAGTAGAAACAGGTCCCAGTGCCATTATCGATGACTTCTCAGAGATG